AAGTTTTATATTATGTCTTTCTCTAAATATCCTGGATGGTTCACAATCTAAGTTAAACTACATAATAAAAAAGAGCCAAAATCAATGATATCAATGAAATACTATTGTATTTGTATTTTATTATTTATATTGCTGGAAGCTCTGGGGGATTTTCCGGTTGACAAGGATGGTGATCCTGTCAATGCCCTGGTTGAACTGTGGAATGAGGAGATGACCAGGGCTATTGACACGATCGCTCCCAAGCGTCCTCTCCCACCTGGCAGAGCCCATTCATCTCCTTGGTATACATCTGAACTACGGGAGATGAAGCAGGTTGGGAGACGTCTAGAGCGTAGGTGGAGGAAATCACGGGGTGATTCTGACCGAACACACTTAAGAGCCCACTATTGGGCCTATGCTGTGGCAGTGAGGATGGCAAAGAAGAAATTCTCCATTTCCATTGCCTCCTCACAGTGCCGTCCGGCGGAGCTCTTTTGGGTGGTGCAGGGGCTGGTACATCCGGGCCCAAAGAAATATCTTGTGCCACCCTCAAAGGCCCGCTATGACGACTTTGCCAAGCATTTCAGGGAGAAAATCGCTCAGATTCGCCACGAGCTTGACTCTACTATTGAATCAGATTCTACTGGGGAAATGCCATCAACGTCGTCGAGTCCACAATTAATGGATGAATTTCAGTTGTTGCGGCCTGATGGTGTGGACAAGGTGCTTGGACAAGTACGTCCTACCACTTGCTTACTAGACCCATGCCCATCTTGGCTACTTAAGAAAGCCAAGGATGGGATTGGGACCTGGATCCTTGAGGTGGTCAACGCCTCTTTAAGAGAGCGCTGGGTACCTGCCCCTTTAAAGGAGGCGGTAGTCTGGCCAGTCCTAAAGAAGGCATCCCTGGATCCAGAGGTGGCCGCCAATTATAGACTGGTGGTCAGCATCCCGTTCCTGGGCAAGGTGCTAGAGCGGGTGGTGGCGGGACAACTCCAAGCACTCTTGGATGAAACTGATTATCTGGACCCATTTCAGTCCGGCTTCAGATCCGGGTATGGCACTGAATCTGCCTTGGTCGCCCTGTACGATGACCTGTGCAGGGAGAGAGATGGGGAATGCGTCTGGACCTCTCAGCGGCTTTCGATACCATCGACCATGGTATCCTTCTGAATAGGCTAGCGGGATTGGGAGTTGGAGGCACCGCGTGGCGGTGGTTCCGCTCCTATCTCAATGGCTGATTTCAGAAGGTGGTGCTGGGGGACTATGGCTCTGCGCCATGGCAGTTATGCCATTGAGTTCTGCAGGGGTCCATTTTGTCCCCTTTGCTATTTAACCTCTACATGAAACCGCTGGGAGAGGTCATCGGGAGGTGTGGGCTGCGGAATCATCAGTACGCTGATGATACCCAGCTCTTCCTCTCGTTTTCCACCAATCCAAGTGAAGCAGTGGCTGTGCTGAACCGGTGCCTGGCTGAGGTAATGGGCTGAATGAGGGCCTATAAACTGTAGCTCAATCCAGACAAGACGGAGGTCCTGTTGGTGGGTGGCTCGGTCATTGGGATGGGGGACTTGGGCCTTGTCCTAAATGGGGTTGCACTCTCTCTGAGGGACAGGGTTCACAGCTTAGGAGTGCTCCTCAACCCTGAGCTATCTTTAGAAGCTCAGGTGACGGCGGAGGTGAGGAGCGCCTTCCTTCAGCTTTGGCTGATACATCAGCTGCGTCCCTTCCTGGAGAACGACTGCCTGGCAACAGTGACACACGCGTTGGTGACTTCCCGATTAGATTTCTGTAACGCACTCTATGTGGGGCTACCCTTGAAGACGGTCCGGATACTTCAGTTAGTGCAGAATAGAGCTGCCAGGTTGCTGATGGGGACTGGGCGTTGTTCTCATATAACCCCAGTTCTCTGTCAGCTCCACTGGCTCCTGATTGAAGTCCGGGCCCAATTCAGGGTGTTGATTATGACCTATAAAGCCCTAAACAGCATGGGACCTGGATATCTAAAGGAACGCTTGCGTCCATATATGCCCTCCCGCCCCTTGAGATCAGCAACAGATGCCCTTCTCCGGGAACCCTCTCTGAATGATATTAGGAGGATGAGTACCCGGAGGAGGGCTTTCTGTGCAGTGGCGCCCCATCTATGGAATGCGCTCCCCAGAGAGGTCCGCCTGGCACCGTCGTTATTTGTTTTTTGGCGCCAGGCTAAGACCTTTTTATTTAAAACTTATTTTAATTGTTAAATTATTTGTATTTATAGGTTTTTAATTTTTTAGCCGAGATGCACCGGGGGGTTTTAAATATTTTTTATTGTTATATTGTTATTATTTATGTATTTGTTTCTGTTGTGAGCCGCCCCGAGGCTTCGTTGCGATGGGGGCGGCATAAAAATATTTTAAATAAATAAATAAACTGCTCATAGAACTCTGTGTGCTATGGAACAGTATGTAAATGTAGTAAAAATAAAGACTTAAACTAAAAAATCAAAGGCACCAAGAGGATCTAGTCAATAACTTGATGAAGTTCTGTAAATGCTCACTAAAATAAAACTGTATTTTTCACTAGTTGAAAGGAGATAAGTAATAAAGTTAGACCAACCTTCCTTTGCCAGGTTATTTTAAAAATTGAAAAACAACAATATTTATTTATAGGATCTTTCCATAAATTGCTTAACTCTAGGCTTCACTTTATCTCAGTTAATGTAGGTTTGTGTTTCATATTAGTTATCAGTGTGAAAATAATGAGTGATGAGCTCTCAATTTTTCATTTTATTGTTGCAGGTAATTTTATCGGGAATTATAGGATTAACAACATGGAAGAGACCAATGATACTTTTGGTAGGTGTTGGTTTAAATGTGATATCAGAGCATATCACAAGATTCTCTTGATTTAATAGCAGTATTGTTATAAGTGATATGCTTGCTTCCTTTTTGAAAATAAATAATATTTGAAGGAATGAAGCCATATTAAGAAGTATATTCATTTTATTTGTTCATGCCACTAATGATAGTAACAGCAGGACTATTGAGAGAGAATGATTTTATTTCATGTGTTCAGTGCTATTGGCTTGCTTGAATACTGTTTAATTAAAATAATGTATGCATTTTATTTTAATATAATTGGAATGCTGTTTGCATACTTGAAATTTGGTCTAATTTTTATTTATTTATTTAATTTCATTTCTATGCCACCCCATAACCTGAAGCTTCTCTGGGTGGCTTAAAATCCTAAAACAAAATAAAACCATATGTATATTACAATAAAACAACTGTTTTATTTTGGTTTTGAACTGTTCTGTTTTGAACAACTGATTTAGAAAGATACCCCCTGTAGTTTGAATTAACTTTTCTGAGGGAAAAGTCCAGTGTCCTCCACTGTTGATGTGTGCTTACGTTCACTGAATGCACACAATGAGGTACAGTGACGGTAATCTCTGTAGTTGTGCCTCATGCTGTATATTTTATCTAGCCAATCTCTGTAATTGTCCGAGGTGCTGGGAAATGAGAAGGAAGAAGCCTAGGATGCTGGCCCCTAAGACAATTTTGGCAGGGGGTTAGGATTATTTCATCCTAAACATTTAATACTGGTGCTATTCATATTTTAAGGTAAACTAGCTTATTTTTGTTTTGTTTTGTTTATGTCTTCATAGTAAGAACTTGAGTGTGGTAAGGATATTATATATCAGTCATCTTTTGTATTCCACATAGTCATTTTTATGTCCTTTTTGGTTGCTGGTTATTTGATACAAGGTTTATTTTCTTTAAAGCACACCAAAGTAACTTGATGGGTTATTTAGTACACTGTTCTTCACATTGTTGCCTGCTAGATCAAAGCCTCCAATCTTGAAGGCTTGAGTATCTAGGGCTCTACTGTGTTACTGCCAATGGGGCAGAAGGAGCAACAGAGGCATGTTTCACTTCTTTACTCTCTTCTTTTCTTCTTCTGATAGACCTGAGGGTCCATCTAGTAGAGGTGTGCTGAGCAGGTGCTGTCAGGGCTAGAGAGGTGGTAGGATTTCTCATATACTGGCCTCTTTGTTCCCCTTCCACAAGATGCCCCATTTTTTTGACTTCCAGTTGAATGCCTCTAACACCACTTTTGCAACCTCAGGAAGCAACTGGTGCAGTTCCTTGCACAGCACCCGCATAGGGATCAGAACCCTCCCAAGCCAAAATAGGCTATGAAGTGTGTATGATTTCCAGAAGGAAACTCTACTAAATCTCATGGTCCTTGGAATGCTTCCCAGGAGTGGTAGGATTGCTCTCTTTGGTCAAGAAAGTGGTAAAAAGAAACATGCATATTCATAGTTTTGTAATATTTCCTTTTTATTGATGATATTATTACATGGTCCTTCTGGGATGGTACATATATAAATTTAGGCCCAGTGCTGATCCCCAAAACAAGTAAATTAAATTCAGAGTCCACTTTGAAAACAGAACTTAAGCTATTGGGCAGTATACAGATGCAATTAATTAATTTAATAAATATTAATAAAAGAGAGTTGAAAAGCAGAAGGAAAGAAATTGTTGTAGTCCAGTTCAGTCCAGGGAACAATGTACAATTAGAGTTTATGCTCTGTACTCTTCATTTTCATTACTTTTCATTTGTCTCACACAGATTTAGGTTTATTGTAAGTTCACCTGTCTTTGCCTTCCTACCCTGTCTCACAGCAATTCATCCTAATAGCATGTGAGTTGAAACTAAATGTGAAAAGTGGAATAGAATAGTGAAAAATGCTAATCAGCTTTATCAATTTATATGTATTGAGCTATTACTGTTGGACCTAAGTACTTTGTATGCCTCAGTATTGGTGAAGAACTGACTAATAGATATTAAATTAACATTGCTTTTGAAATGCCAGTCTAGTGTGAAGTGAGATTGAAGAAATAAAAACTGGTTTTTGATGGTAGGGATTGGAAAGAATGTAAAAGAAAGATTAGTAACTTCTTATGAACAGAAATGTTTTGTTCTTCACTTTGTTGGCATTTTAATATCTGATTAAGAAGATGATGATTGGAAATTTACATTTTAAGAGACATCTCCTCACTCACTTGCAGCAGGCAAGTAATCCTTACCATTGTATAGAAAGGGGAAGTAGAATCAGGACTGGAGCTGGTCTTCAGTGAACCAGATATCATGGGACAAAGCCAGTAGTCAGGATCAAAGGATAAGTTATATGCTAAGAACAACTAGGAAGCATGGACAAGGAAAAAGGCAGAAATCTAGCACGATCCAATATGGATCTAGAACTAAAAAATAACCAAAAATACAGGAATACACTAGCACTCTGTAGATCTTATTGCTCAAGTTAGACTCAACTGGTATAGAAAGATTGTTATACTCCTTTCTGTGCCAGAGGATCCAGTGAACAGACTGAGTGGGCAGTGTCAGTTAAAGATCGTATATCAGAGGAAGATGCCATCTATTTAGCCAGTTGCCACATTGGATCATTTTCTTCAGAGCCCAGATGGAGTAGCATCTTCCACACCTTGCCACTGTCACCACCGGTAGCCTCTATCCCTAGACAGAAAGTGGGGATAGGCTGAGTGAGCAGTAACGGCAATAAGCAATAGTGCCTCCTTGCTTTGTCACTAGCACTCTTGCTTTAGGCTAGAAGAGAGTCAGAATGTGAACAAGCAAGTGGCTTTTGTTGTTTTTTCTTGTTACTGCTTGCAGCAACTGTGACAGTGGCGAGCCCAGCAAATACAGGGCTTAGAGGCTGATGGCAAGGAGGGCATGGACCCACTTGAGGATGTCTTATCTCCCAACAATCCTGAGGCTGGGTCTAGATGATGAAGATTTCTGTATTGTCCAATAGCTGTTTAAAGATCATATGGTTGACTCAGTACATGTAATAGTGTTCTGCAAGTGATGAGCAATAAACATGCATTAACTGGAAATAATGAACTGCCCAGACACCTTTGACTGTACAGCAGTATGGAAACGTTACAAATGAAATGAATGCAAGTTACTCATTCAAATTGAATATTTGCATTTCTTAACAGGCATGGCACCAACCTGTGGAAGTACTCCTGTACTTTGAAATCAAACGGACTGAATGAATTGGGATCTCCAGGCTAATGACCTTACATTTTAAATACATACAGGTTTAAATGCCCACAGGCTGGAGACTGTGGATCATAATCCATCTGTTTGTTCAACTTCATAATGAGTCTCAGTGAAATAAATCAACAATATATTCAGTTCTAGTTTTGGTAGTAAAGGAGGAAGCAAGCTGTAATTGAATCCTTCAGATTTGCCTATGCCCTTGCAGGATTATAACATTATTTTGTTTGCCTCTTACTATTTGTACTTTAAAACATCTTCAGCATCTTTCCTTCACTGTAGTTGGAGTTTAAATATGGCATAATCCATAACATTGAAGGCACTGAAATGCAATATAACTTACTGAAACAAATGTCAAACTCTACAGACTGTATTTCAAATTTGTTGAAATTAGGATTAGGATCCTTCATATGGTTATAAACTGTAGTAATATGCTGGAAATGGCATATATTTTGGTGTAGGTTAAATTGAGCAGAGCATAACAAATGTGAGGTACAGAAGACAAAGGTAAAATATAGGAACAATTATGCTGTTGGCATGTACAATGTCACTTACAATTTCTTGCATTTTTGTTTTGTTCCAGGTTAACTTGTTTGTTTTGCTTTCTGTTATCTGTGTTCTCTTGAACCTTGCGGGATTTATTCTTGGATGCCAAGGTGCTCAATTTGTGTCCAGTGTACCTAGATGTGATTTGGTGAGGATATTTTAACTGATTGTGTCTGAATTGGTGACTGTACTTGTAATCTAGTTTTACCAATCCTATAATATTGGTAAATACTATATCAAAGCTATAAACAAAATATGCTACTTCTACCATACTATTTATCTGTTTTAGTCCCATTTTCTTCATGCAGTTTACACAATGACTTAGCAAAGAAATAGCAGTAGCCATGCAATCAAATATAGTAACCATGTTATCAAATAATGAACATACTAAACCTTTGAATTCCCTGTTCAAATATGATGCCTGTATTCATATTTCCATCAGCTTTTTGCTTTCTCAGTTATTCTGTATCTTCCAGTGGAAGTGAAATCTTATTGTGAAAATGCACAATAACGCTATTGTATGTCATAATAAACTGTTGTGGTTAATTAACCCACAAAGGCTTTACAGTATGTGCAAACCATTTCATTATTGCAATATGGATCTACTGCCAAAAATGCCATACTCATTATGTAGAGTCTCCCTCTCTTATATTCAGTCATGTATATTTTAATACTCTTAGATTTAAAAAAAATTACCTTGGATTTATGCAGATTTCTGTTTAATCATTCATTATTGAATAAGGTTTTAAATTTTAGCCATCCGTATGAGCAGTTCCCCTGCCTCCAGCAATTGAAAACCTTTTGTAATGGCAGGCGTTCAGTAAAAGGGCCTGTCAGGATTCTTGAGACCTTAAAAGTTTAGAGGTTTCTTTTATATGCTTCCATCAGTGCTCAGTGGGATAGCAAAATACATTGTGAAATGCATATTATACTATACTGTATATTATTGTTCCCTAAGATCAGAGCTAGTTCTTTAGTCTATGTTGATGAAGGAAAGGATTGATACTGATACATGAGTAAAATATGACATCCCTATTGTCTATTGTTTCTTGAATATCAGTTACACGTACAATATATTTATTGGGTCAGTGATTGCTTTATAGATTTTGATTCTTTGCTTAATGAAGCATATTTGATGGTGTTACATAAAGCAGTAACTAATACTAACTTACTACCTTCCTTGATGTTAAAGGTTGATGTGGGTGACAATAAGTTTTGTTTCTGTTGTGAAGAATTTCTCCCATCAAAATGCACAGAAAAAGAAAATGTATTGAAGCTATATCCAGTCCAGTCATGTAACGCAGGTCATCTTCTACTCAAGGTGAGGTCTTCATATAAAATTGACTGCACTGACAAGCTGCAATAAAAAGTAATATGGTGTTATCATTTAATTCCTTGAGGTATAGTATTGTTGATCACTTTCAAATGTCTTTTCTCCTGAGCACTTCTTCATTGTTTTTGGATCAACGGGTAAAGTGGGAAGGAGGAAGAAACTAAGAAAGAGGATCTGTAGAATAAGTCAGAATATTTCACAAAATTTGATAAAGCTTGATGGTAGTTCGCTCATCTTATCCTATATTGTTGTAAACTACTTTGAGCATCACGAAATTGGATTCCATGTAAACTCAGACTCTCATCCACGTATGTGGATACAACAGTGTAATACAAGAACTGAAATACCCAACTCTGTCTCTGAGGGCAAAAAATATGTTACAGTATTCACTGTTGTCCGTGAGTGCAAGACTTTTCTTCAATAACCTGGATCAGGACCCTGGTATGAGAGGTAGGAGATTTTGAGCCCTCATGTCTTCCCATTTTGGTTGAATCATCCCTATGACCATCTTCATCCTGTACTGCTTGGGGAAAATGCTTATATTCAAGGGCAGACTATATAAATAGCATAACATGTTGTTTGGTCCTGAAAGAAGGTCCATGAATTCTAAGGTTGCTTCTTGCGATTATCTTGCGATTCACAGGCTTCTCTCAAAAAAAGACATGGGCCATCAATTGTGAGTTATGATTCACAAATGGCACTTGTTATTATACCTAAATGAAAGGTAGACTGAATATAATGCTTCAACAGATCTGTAGAAATAATCATAATCTTTAACAAACTTTACAGGATTAGAGAAATTTATGACTATTATGCTTGTTATATTTAGCAGCATATATGTTAGGTTGTACATATAGGCTAAGTTCTCAAACAGAACAAAAAACTGAAGATGCATGTACTGATAGGGGGAAAATATCAGAAAGGCACAGGATCCTGGGGAAAATTAGCAAGCTACAAGGTAGTGCTTGTTGTGAAACACAGTAACTTCTTTGTAGTAAGGAGACTTGAAGATCAAGTTCAGAAACAGAAAAAATGAGTTTAACCTGAAATAATTAAAATGTAACCAGCTTTTATTCTTGAAAGTCAAAAGACTTAGTACCTTATGTAGGTTTCTGTGATCTTTATAGAAACTTTTGATGCTCATTGTCTGGTACATCGGCTCACATTTGTATATGTTAATTACTTTCATGGTCTGTTTGTCCCACAGAAAGTTCTCTTTGCGCTCTGTGCTCTGAATGCACTGACCACCACAGTATGTTTAGTAGCGGCTGCTCTGCGTTACCTGCAAATATTTGCTACTAGAAGATCCTGCACAGTAAGTGAGTTCAAAGCCAGATTGACTTGCTTTTTTTTTAAATTAGAGATGCAGGAGGAAGTCTGCATGAAATCTTACATGAATCCTACTTACTCTTAAAAAAATATGTATATATATTTTTTATCTTGTTAGGAAGAATCCCACATTCGTGTAGAAGAAGCTGAAGAACAAGGTCACATTTCTGATCCAGAAGATTTTGTGCCCCCTGTCCCCCCTCCATCATATTTTGCTACATTTTACTCTTGCACACCTAGGATGAATCGGAGGTAAAGTGCTGACACTCAATTTTTTCTGGATATTCTGGGTCACTGTCCGATAACTGATTTAACTTTAGTTCTGCCACTTTCCCTGAAGTCATGATTTAGGTGTGTCTCCTTCCTCCCCTTCACCCCCAAGTGGTACCTACTGTAATTTTAGACTGACTGCAGGCTATAATTTTGTGGTTTTCGTCTAAGAGTTTTGTGACATTTGAGTCTAGGTAAGAGAAATGTAGTAATTTATTGAACTGTGATGTTAAAAAGTTGTTCCCTTGAGCTAGGATAGAAAGTGCTTTCAACTATTCCATGTCACATGTGCAGCACTCTAGCCTTTTGAAATGTCTGCAGGCAGATTTTAAAATCACATTTCCTATTTAGATACCACATAATACTGATAATTATTTAATATTTAGTAATTTGTTTAGTAGTATTTATTAGACCAAGAACTACTAGAAGTACAGGCAGGGTTTCAAAAAGGCAGAGGAACTAGAGATCAAATTGCTAACATATGCTGGATCATGGAGAAAGCCTTGGAGGCCACCTGTGTCAGCCTGATATATCTCAGCCTATAATCCTTGCCCCTCTCTCCTCCACACAAGGTTTCCTCTGTTACAGATACTGAAGATGAAACTCAAATACTTTGGCCACCTAATGAGAAGGAAGGACTCATTAGGAAGGGCCCTAATGCTGGGTACGATTGAAGGCAAAAAGAAAAGGGGGTGGCAGAGGTTGAGATGGCTAGATGGGGTCACTGGGGTGGTAGGTGTGGGCCTGGATGGACTCTGGTGGATAGTGGAGGACATGAGATCCTGAAGGAATGTTGTCCATGGGGTCGTGAAGGATTGGACACGATTTGATGACTAAACAAATACTGATAATAGTGCATTTACAGAGCAATTCTATGGCTCCTAGGTTGTGTTTGAGGAACTATAGAGTACTTCAGATTCCTAGATTCAAGGTCAGAAAAAATTCCAAAGTTAAAGGTGTGTATCAGTGCTCTGAACTCTTTCCCTGTACTCACAGAAAAAACTTAAATGGGGTTATGGGCACAGGAAGGAGCTGCCAGGGAATGATGTATCTTTTTCCTGCTTCAACCTTCTTTCCTTCCTCTCTGAAGTACCACAGCTAGACTCAAAATTCTCCATCTAGCCAAATAGCCAAGCAAGAGAAGCAGGGAGGCGGAGACTGTTTCTGCTGCTTCCTTACTTTGTAATGTATACTCCTAAGCCTCTAAGTTCATAGGCTTGGGAGCATCAGGGGCTCAATTGATAGGTTGGGGGAGTTCTTCGTCGGGCCTCTGTGCATCACACATATGGGTACTGCGCCTGCGCAGTGCCTTTGGCCGGAAGATTGATAGCTAACGGTTTTTGGCGGGAAGCTCCACTCCCCCTCCCGCTTGTGGCCTATAAAGAGCGGAGCATCCGCCATTTTGTTCAGTCTTTGCGACCGCCGTTCACTGTGCCTCGTGCCGCTTCTGACTTTCGCTTTGGCTATTCTTGGTTCTCTCCTTATATATTGCCCTTATACTACTTTCCCCTTTCTTCGTTCCCGCTTCTGTGTAGTTTTTCTCTTGTTATTTCTTTCATCGATCTATCAAAAAAAAAAAACCCCAAAAATATATACTTACCCTCTGCACTATCTCTCTTCTTCTTGTTCTTTTCTTCTGCAATGGCGCAGCGAGCGGCTTTCTGCAAATGTGTGGACTGCGGGTCAAAAATGGCACCTACTGACCCACACGACCTATGCCTCCTCTGTCTTGGAGAGGGGCATAGGACGGATAAGTGCGTTCATTGCCTAGCCTTCTCAAAGCAGGCTAGGAAGAACTGCGAAAACCAGCTTCGGAGGCTCCTTTGGGATAGGGCTCTGATGCAATCAGACCCGCTCGTCTCCATCCCAAAACCTGGCTCCGCTTCTGTGGCTCCACCCTCACACCCTTTGGATGAAGGTGCGTCTGCTTCGGTGGCCCCCTCTGCTTCACCAAAAAAGAGGCATGAGAAGCGGAAGCATGCTGAAGAGAAGCCGGCAGGCCATAAGAAGGCCAGAAAGGAGAAGGCCTCTAAGCCTCCAAAGAAGGCTAAGTCCACGGACCGTCCCCGACATTGGGACTTGGAGCCGACGGGACCCTCGGTACCGGTGGTGGTTACGATACCGACCCCGCCCGAACCAATCCTTCAGGAGGCCATGCGGGTTACCCCTCAAGGGTCTCCCCGATGTGCGGTCAACCTCCCGCCTGCACCCCTTCCAACTCTACGGGGGTCTATTTCGGATGGGGAAATCCAGGACTCCCCTCCTAGGGCGAGGTCACCGACACCGATGCCCGCGGTGATGTTGGAGACAGAAGCTGGCCTGTCCCCACCAGGGAATTGGAGGAGCCGCTCGGTAGAGCAACGCCCGGAGAGCTGGCGTCATCCCTACTACCAACCTTGGGGAGACCCGCTCTCTGTGAGGTACTACCCTGCTCCCAGGGCGCAATCCTCACCTCCGCCCTGCGACCAACCGCGGTCAGTGGATCTGAGGAGGGTGCCATCTCGATCCCCGCAAAGCGGAAGCAGCCGCTCCTTCTCTCCGGCGGAGTCATCATCTTCTGCCCCACCATACTACAGTGCTGATTCGGATGACTCTGAAGTAGACTCAACCTCCCTGGACGTCGTGGTGACATCCCAGGATCCTGCGTCACCCGATGAGTCCCACGTCTCCTTCATGGAGCTGATGTCGAGGCTTGTCCAGTCCCTAGACATCGACGCTGCCCAGCGCCTGGGACCGTCGACGGACAAGTTTTACGACGTCCGTGGGGAGCAATGGACCTCCATCGTTCTGCCGCTTATAACCACCCTGCGGCAGGCGATGACGCAGCCCTGGGACCGACCTTCACATCCTCAGCCGACGTCCAGGAGGTATGAGTCTATGTACAGGGTCCGGGAAGAAGACATCCCCTTCCTGTTAAAGCACCCGAAACCAAACTCGGTGGTCATTGAATCCTCGCAAGGCAGAGAGGCAAGAGGACATACGGCGCCGAGGGATAAGGAGGGCTGGAAAATAGATTCCCTGGCCAGGCGAGTCTATGCTGCCTCGGGCTTAGGACTTCGCATATCCAACTACGAGGC